CCGCGGTTGTTATTTTGTATAGGGTGAAATCTTTTTATTCCTCTACCAACAAAACACTCCGTACATAGTTTGAATAAGACATTAAAGTTGAATAAAAGATAAACCGCCCGTAGTTATCTTCTGAACCCAATCCAGTCAGTAGTTCCCCCTTGCGAGTACAGTAGTCTACGCAGATGCCAATAGATAGCGCGGAGACGAGCGATGAAGAACGTCACGGAGACATCAGTCAGTCTGCGTGTTTGGTCTGTCGAACTGTGTCGTTTACAATCACTCACAAATAGCACACACTGGCACAATAACACAGAAAACGCACGTGTCACAAAAAGGAATGAACACAGTGGTAGTGGCACTCCGCACTGATGGACGAGAAACACATATTGGACACTCACAGTCGACGTGCACGATTGTAAAGATTGGAAACCGCGCCCGTAATAGTTTATCGTGAATAATCGTATCTTACAGATTCGTGCCGTTTTATTTTCTTTGCCTTGAAGGTGTACCTTTAACCCAGAGCGAGGTACAAACTGTTTACCAGTATTAGCTCGCCACCCCGACTCCCGGTCATATCATCGCATGCAAAGCCTTGTATCGTCTCGAACGGTGAGAAAACGAGCCAAAGAACATCCTGTCGCACACCTCTGTTCACTCCACTGCGCTGGGAGAGCCCAGAGTACGTTCGCTCTACACAATATTACAGACGGTGAACGCACACAACAACAGTTCACTAAGATCCCTCTATGTCAGTATCCTCTAACAGCCAACCCCCATGATGAAAAGGGTAGCAAATTGTAATCGAGCCACCGACTAAGACTGTGGTTAGTGTTGTGAACAATTATTCATGACCTAGTCTATTCTTAGCTTTTTAGTGTGTTTGAAACGACCAAGATTAACCACTGGCCGAATGGTCTGTTTGGTATACTGTAACAGATAACCTTTGACAGTTCATCATCGGTGCTTTATGCTCTTCTCCACCAAACAAAACTATTCTCCACAAGCTCCAATTTTTTAGTGGTTTGGATTGCTTGGCAATCAAGACCATTGCACTGAGATCGAACTCAGTGCACAAAAAGCGAGCAAGAAAATATCCAAACCGCTAGCACTCTCACTCCCTTTGGTTACCCGCGGTTTACTTCTGTGATCTAACCATTTCCTCTCCTGCTCGACTTTTACTGTATGCTGCTGACCCCTGTCCCAGAGCCAACTGTCTAACATCAGTCCAAAACTACTATCTCTCTCACACACACAAACCACTCGTCCCATGATTCTGGAGCATCGCTAAAACCTTTCCAAGTGTTCTGAATGTGCGCATTCCCGCTGAAATTAGTTCATCTTCACTTTCCACAACTGACACTACGGAATGCACAGGTGCCACTCTTCAAAAAAATTCCTCTACGGAGTGAACGCATTGGATACACCGTGTTTAAGTTGTGTTACTCATGCTTTCAGCTAAGTAAGCTGAGGCTATGTGGTGAAAGTCAAATGTTCACATATTTTGTATTGATCACCCGGCAGGGTTAGAAAAAAGAGTGCAAGTTAATCCGCCGTGTGTTAACAACCATAAGTCGCATTTAACCAGTTCAGTGTTCAAGAAAATCAAGAAAATCTGTGAGCAAAGTTCTCCGTCCCAACTCCTTTTTCACGAGCCAAGTTTTTCACATTAACTCAAAGGCAGCATTGATAATGTCACCTCGGCTGGTGATGAAACGTTTGCAAACAAATTGCGAAGCTGGGCGAACAGGCGAAATAGAATTCAGTTCACCCGAGCTACGAGAACGAATTTTCAATATCTTGTCAATGGTCAACTGCATCAGTCGGGAAGCCAACATTAGGAACCAAAATGTTTGTCACGCACTCAGTTCCGCATGAAAACATGTAGGGGTCATACGTGATCCGATTGAATCCACCAATAACTTTAAGCGTCTGAGCTCTAGCAAAGAACCCAACGGTCAGGTGAAATTGGGCATTAATGCCCAGAGAAAGCCAACTCAAGAGTATTATAGGGCACATGACGGAGACCAAACTTCACATACTTCCCTGAGCAGTTCGACCTGCGAAATGCGGCAATTAAGAGTTCTGGAGTAGTGATTGGAAAAAAATCGATCAGTGATACTCGCGAAAAATTCTGAGAATCAAACGGTGAGATCAATCCCCCTAACAGTCTGAACTCACTGTTTTAATACCACACACCAGGACAACGACATCTACTATGATTTGTGTTTATGGTGCCCAAACCAGACCAAAGAAACCGTTTTATTGCCAGTGCTATCACCACATGATGAATCGCCAAAAAGCTGTCTGCACACTAAACGCGAAAATCCAGAACACCTTAACCC